AAAAAAAAAAAAAAAAAAAAAAAAAGGCATGACCTTTCAACATGTATTTTAGAAAAATAAACGTTGAGATGGAAATAAATTGTTTACGAGGGAGTATGATTTCAATGCAGCAGAAGCTGAACAAGATTCTGAATGTAGAAAAATTGTAGGAACCCCAAGGAAACTATCAAACCAGGAGTCTTGGTAAGAAACTTACATGGTTATAATACATAACACAGCAGCTAAGCATAAGTTAAAAATTTGAATATCCTTCCATCACATTTAGAGCCTAAAATGTTTTTTTTCTGACAGTGTACATTCCGTTAACTATTACACAAATAGAACAGTCACATTAACCAAATCATGGTATAAAGCGCCAACAACAGATCAAATTGAAGGCATAGAAGACTAGAGCTTGTTATCTGTAACAGAGGTCCCCATATTTTCATCTTCAATTTGTTTAGAAATAAGTAGGATGGTAGAACTATGGATTACCTTAGTGCAGATAAAAATATAAATTAAACATCCGAATGTGTATTTAGATTGTACGAAACATTGTGTGGATGATCGTACAAAACATATCAGTTTTCACATATGATATATCAAGGTCCTGACCCATATTAATTCAATCAATAAAATGGAAAGAGATAGAGGAGAGTGAACATTAAGAGTTAAAAAAACATTCAGAATGGAGTAGGAAAAATAATTTGCAAATAAATCCAATATTTCTTTCCCAAAAGTTGCTAATGATTTATGGGTGTGCTTGGATATTCTTTCATTTATAACTTTTTCCTCCATGGGGAAAAAAGGTTCGGGGGAGGGGACTAATTATTTTGACTACAATGAGAAATGATGTAAGATGAAAAAATAATAATCAAAAGAAATGTGACGGGGAAATAATAAAATGATGAGCATCTATATTTAAGTTTCCATATTTTAGTTAAGTTATTTAATTAGGATTACAATAAGGTAATGGGCTGGGCTGGGCTTTCGTTAGGAACTCTAATTTGTTTTATTTAAGTAGCAGTTTAAGTCTCTGAGGAGGGAGAAAAGAATGGAGGAGCCTTTAGCTTAGGCAAGAGAAATCCTGATCGTGTTCATGCTTGGGGCAGGATTGCCGGTAATTGTTTCCAGTTGTTCTCGTTTCACTCGTTTTCAACTAATTATCAATTTCAGTATGGAATTCTTCTTGCAATCCACTCTTCACTCTATCAAATGATGATGGCTATTTAGAAATACGTGAATAGATGATAGCAAATTTCATAGAAAGATGTGTAGTATGTAGGTTTTTGTTTTAAAATGTGTTTGAGGAGAAAAAAGGTAAGTGAGTGAATAGTGCATCAGCATTCAGCAGGTGATCTCAAAAACCTTAATATCCATTCACACCTTATATGTCTCAAGACCACATTACTTGCACCAAATAATCATGCAGACAGTGATCCCAAAACTTCACCTTAAGATCCAACAGCAAGGTTCCATCTATGACATTCGTAAGCCTATTGTGACATATAGTCAACATATCGAGAGAAACGTACTTAGCAGCATCAGACACCCCTCAGACCACAAAATTTTATCCCGGAAACCATTTATATAAGGATGCCAATGATTACTTGTGCAAGATATGTGCAGTAATTAAAGTATCACCGACATTACCTCCCTAACTGCTTCTGGTTAACTTCTTCATTGCCAACCCGAGATGTTCCAAGACCACCACCAAGCCTGCGGGGACGCCAATTCGGAACAGTTCTACCACGTTCAACATCCACAAGCACCCTCCTATTATCGATCTTCTTACCATCTGCTTGTTTATATGCAGCTGCAAGACATATATACAACTATCACGGTCAAATATCAAATATCAAATAATAGGGAGAATCTCTTCTAGGATAACAAAATAAATAAATAAAAAAGGAGGAAAAGGGCAGGAAAAAAAAAAAAAAAAAACCTTTCATATCCCTTGTATGCACGTATTCAATAAAAGCATAGCCTCTTGGCTTATTTGACTCTTTATCAGTAACCAAACGAACCTGAAACTCGCAGGATATGCTTATTAGCTACAGTTAAAAAGTCAGAATAGTATATACAACTATAAAACAGTTTTTCAATCACTGACTGACTTCATACTATACTTAGTAATAAAAGTGTAAGGGCACGGCAAACTGGCTCTATGCCTAATTAGCCGTGCTCACCTTTCAAATAGAGCTTCCGGCAAGATGCATCACCATAATTGCTAGAGTTGCCATAAAACGGAGGCCAATTTACCAGATGACATGTATACTAACCTCCCCTTACCAGGGACTTTTTTTTTATCACAAGTAAGTAACAAAAACATAAATTGACTATAATTAATTTCGATACCGTAATATCTTCGGAATTGTTGAAGCATTTTGACATCCTTTGAACCAAAAACTAGATTTTAGTAGCAGGAAGGTATTAGAAAAAAAAAAGAAAAAAAAAANNNGAAAAGAGAGAGAGAGAGAGAGAGAGAGAGAGAGAGAGAGAGAGAGAGAGAGAGAGAACAAACTCAAATGCATTTTACCAATTGCAGTAAAAAATTCTTCACCAGGTAGCTTGAAGTATAGTTAAAAGGCAGAAAGCGCTATCGTAATTCACAAATTAAAGTTTCACCTTTGCATGAGAGATGCACCATTTAACTGGAGTGGCTCCTTGTCAAAAGAGTACCAACAAGAGGAGAAAAGCAAAAGATGCACCTCTTAAAAGGATAAACTTACACACCGGATTCTATGAATGAGTGGGTGCCTAAAACTAGATCATGATGTCGGACGAAAAATTCATGCCCCAAATGAGCAGAAAGGGAGAAAAAAGTTAGCATAATAACCTAAATTTAACAAAGGGTCAAAATTATACCTGGGAAATTTCAAGCCCCAAATGAGCAGAAAGGGAGAAAAACAATAACCTAATCTTAACCAAGGGGTAAAATTTATACCTGAGGACACTTCCGCAGCTGACTTAATCATGCATCGTAATAAAAGTAAATAAATAGGGATTCTTAAATTGTCAACACATGGGTGGCACAGAGACAAAACAGACTTCACGTGCTTTTTGAGACATGATTGCAAAGGCAGGCATGAAACATGAATGATCAAGGTGATATAATAGATGCAAACTGTTTTAAGTCGGTATAAATTGTTACAGCTGTATTTTACTTAAAACATGTAAGGAACAAAATTATAGCAAGAATATAATACAAAAAAATGCAAGAGAATCTTCAAATCAGTCAAATCTACAAAAAACAAGCCAATCGTTCACTTTAATCAGCATCAATTTTGAGCTTTCTGTTGTTCTTGGAGTTTCGGGGAGGTTAAATAATTTGAGAAAAGCATTTTCAGTTTGAAGAACCATAATAATTTGGATGGTTTTCTTCAAGGCACGTATGCTACTACCACAAGATGTGTAAACTTTCTTACCGAACCCAAAAGCTAATAACATAAGCCGGACACCTGGGTGTCCCATAGTACCTACCCGCTTAATAGGACCATATGCCTCAAACTCCCTTTTGACTCTGCTTTCAGTGGTCTCATAATTCTGAAGTGGAAACAAGGAAGATACGTAAATTGAGTAAAATACCAAGTCACTAAAGAACTTATAATCAAAGAAAAGGATTACTCACAAGCCTAGAGACAAACAATGTTTTGTATGGGTCTCCAGTCATATTTGGATCTTTATTTGGATCATCTGTAAAGATAATCACACAATAAGATGAAAAATGTTAACAAGACCACAGAAACCAAGATAATTCTATGTTGTAACATTAGAGTACTGTGTGTAAATACAAACATCTTTTTTGCAAATAAAACATTAATTTTCATTAGCTGCACCAACAGAAAATGTGACAAGTAGCAATATACACTAATCAGAAAAATAGCTGCAATACATTTCTCAAGATTCTCTGCGGCCTTTTTGGCTCCCTCCTCCAGACGCATCTGGTGAATCCTAGCTCGTCGCTCTGCCTGTAGAGTACACACGTATATATGAACACAACTTTAATGCATGATATATCAAAACATTAAAAAGGAAACTTTATCATATCAAATATTAGTAAGACAGAAGAAATTTAAACCCCCAACTCCCTTCACTTCAAAAATAAAAATAAAAATAAAAAAAATAAAAATGAAGGTACAAAATTATAGAACAATTATAGTACATGAACTATAAAAATGTAATAAGGTGTACATGAGCATTCTGATATCTTCAATCTCACCATACTGGAGGAAAACAAGCAATAAAGGAAATTTTACAGATGATAGCAGTTGTTCAACTCATGTTTCGGATTTTCCAATTTAAAACATGCTCAGAAATGAGATAAGATAAAAAAAAAATAAGTAAAAAAAATTCATTAGTTGCTTATTACACCCAACATAAGATTAAATACCAATGTGGCAGGGTATATATAGCAGACTCCTAGAATTTCCCACACCTTATGGCCTACGACACAGATACGTAAAAGGAATTGACAGTATCATAGGATGCAATGTAGGACTACATAAAAAATTGACTATATAAGGAAATACATAAACATTTATAAAATGGGGTTTGACAGCCCATGAGTCAATAGAACTACAGGTCATGCTCAGAACAGGAACAAAAATCATATCCTCCCAAGAAATATGAAAAGTGTTTAGAACACATACAGTATTATAATATCCATTCTATTACAGAAGGATCTCGGACATACAGGCCAGCAAATTTCCAGACAAGCGCAAATGGAATGTGTAATATTCTTCACCAAGTCAAAATAATTTAAAAGACTACAACATTCCAACTAAAAAGTTTACTTTCACACACGGTTTTCAGGAGGCAGATGAAAGACTTACTGGGGTTTCACTTTTCTGCACAGGAGCAGCATATTGTGGATCACCCGGCTCAGCAAATTTACTAACAAAGAGTGCCATACCTGGTAAATCAATAAGACAGTTCCCAAGTTAGCTAGTACTTAACAAAATTTTCACAATAGCGTCATAATAGAACCACGGACCTGTATATGGTGGGCATTTCCTCTTTTCAGGAGGTGGTTTGTATTCCAAAGGTGGACGAGGCTCAAATAATTTGAGCAGGTTGGCTGTTAAACCAGTTGGGTGACTCTGACCAATCTACGACATCAAAACAAAAAGATTTTGTTATGTTTGCAGCATGTTATTGTAGTATACCAACTGAAGGAAAATTAACATAGTCATGAAATGCTCATTTCAATTATTGTCGACATAGTCACACAACCACAGACACCATACAGGACTTTAATTGCTGTTATGTCAAAGTTACGACCATCTAATCTCCAACCGTAACATCCTGATTCCAGATTTCCTAAATCCCCGACATCATAAACCCTAGTAACAACATATAAGCGAATAATAAACAGGAATACCATACTTAAAACCATCAAATTACGAAGTTTTTGCGCTAAAACAAGCTCAACCTGAGTTTTATCACGAATTGAGAAAATCGATAGAGATCCAGCACACGAGATTTACCAATTTAAGTTGCAAGACATTGGCGCGGTTCTGAGCCTTGGTACGAGCCTGAACGGCGGCGTTTTGGTTGCGCATCATCGCATCGCCATAGTCTCCCATCCTTCCAGATTCCGGCGGACAATTTAGGGTTTATAGGGATAGCAAATGGTCGTGAAACCAGACGACCGTGAGCATACGACTGTGAGATTTCTCAGAAAGAGCTTCGATCTGAAGCGGCTGAAAATCGATTAATCCAGACACCGGGCACACGAAAAGGGTTTATTGCTCGTATACATACGTGTGGGTTGATGTGTTCACACCTGTTTAATTTGCACTCTCCCACCCCGTTTCCTATATGTTAATTTCGGTTTCTCGCACGCTGACTTATATATATATTTTTTATTCGAAACAATAGATAATATTATAAATCAAAATAGACAAATATGTGAATTTACAGCCCCTAATTCAATGAAACATCCAACAGCTGAAAATTGAGAGGACATGTCAGAAGACCAGTCCCTAACTGAATGGAACAACCAACATCTGAAAAATTGAGAGGACGTGTCAGAAGACAGCCTAAAATCCCCACACAGGCAAATCTAGAATAACAACACTCGCAACTACACAAAACCAACTACACAAACAAAAACAGAAACTACTAAAAAAAGATTCCACCAGAATGATACCCGAGTGTCCGATCCCAACAGGATAATAAGTCAACACTCAGGCAGATACAGAGGCCAAAGGCCCAGACCAAAAACACGAGACAAACATGCAAAACAAACAAAACACACCTGAACAGAAAACACAAAAACTACATCTAAAATCAAGCCCTCTCTCAGCAGAACGCTCGAACTGAACGAAAGGACAATAGACAACTTCTAGAAGAGATTCGGGGCACGAGAACTACGCCCGCCACTGCTGTCGAACGCCTAACAAAGGCGAAGACTCACATCCCACATCAATCCAAGAACCGACCTGCTCTCCAACCGAAAAAATGTCGACACTTCCCAAACCACCATAGTCCCGAAAACTAGCTAACACCACTAGCCAATTTCGGCAACATCGGTCCTTCCCCAGACTCAGCACCAGATGACAGGGAGTAGGGAACACAAATCAACATCAAAGCCCCGGTCACTCTGCTAGAGTCATCACGACCCGAGCTCCCCTCCGAGCCCACGAAGACGAACCCCAGCCCATCCGCTGCCGCACCAGAGAGTCGGCGAGCAGAGATTCGGAATCGACATCTGCAAACCAACATGGTAAACGAAGTTGTCGACAAAAAAAAGGAGAGATGAATCACCCGAACAAGGAAGACGCAAGCAACTTGAGCTGCATCCATCAGCCTCGCCACCCAGGAGCTCCGACGACTTTCAAGCGAAGATCTAAGAAATTCGCTGATAACCACCATCTGCAACCTCTTGCGCGTGAGACGAAAAGAAGAGCACCGCGAACAATAGCGTGGACACGCGGCGGAGAGCTGCCCACCAACTAGCCGGTTGGTGGCTGGGAGAGACACGATTCGCCGGCAACGAGGACTATGTTACGGGAGAGGAGAGGAAAAGGGGGTTTTACGGGAAACATTATTATGAAAGCTTTACTCCACGCGACTTTTATCATATAAAACACTTTAACAGTTCAACTTATAAATACATTTTAAAATTAATATTTATACTTATTATTAGATTTCTATGTATAATATATCAAATTTATTATATTTTGACGAATTTTGATATATATATTTTAAAATAAATAACTATTAGTTATCATATTTTCATATAAAATATATCAAATTAATTCTCTTTTAACAAATTTTGATTTGATATTTACCAGTATGTGGCACGTCAGATGAACGGGAAAAAATAATATTATAATTGTGCACTAAATTAAATATATAAATAATACTAATCACGATAAATCGAAAATCATCGCCAGTCTGACCGAAAGGGCCTGGAAATAGTTTATTAGTCGGTCTAGTTCGCTTGAATAAAACACTTGCTAGCGAATCGGTCAACATCAACTGATGAGACTAGTAAGATCAGTACGATTTATTAAATAAGAATTTTTACAGTTAATATTGTTTTAATATAAATAAAAATACATATTTAAAAAAGAAGAATAAATTATTTATCATTAATTTAAACATTTATAATTTTAAATTACTAAGACATTAATTTTATATTTTATGTAAATTTATTACAAATAGTACTATATATATCCAAAAAATTAGTAAATTAAATCTGGTCATCCAATAAATTATTGAACAAATAACTTGATCGATTTGATGATGGTCTGATTCTGAGAACCTTGGGTTTACCGTACATTAATAAAATTTGTACAATATCATTTTGTTCA